CTTAAATCTCTGATCTCCTCTTACGAATTTTTCATTTCAGGTATTGTATTGAAAATACTCCAAATTTTCCATTTGTTTTTTTTTTAAATAATTTCTCTTTATAGATATTCTCTATTTGATGAAACATTATCATCATATGTTCCTTTAATTCTTTAAAAATGGTCACCTTGGTTCTTTGAACATATTTATAATAACTACTTTGAAGACTTTGCTAAGTCCACCATCTGGACTCCCTGAGAGGTAGTTTATGTTGCTTCCTTTTTTTCCTGTGTAGGTCACACTTTCCTTTTGCTTAGCCTATCTTGTAATTTTTGTTGAAGACTGGACATTTTAAATAATATTGTAGCAGTGTTGGATACTAATTCCACCCACTGCTTGCTTATTAAGTAATTTGGCTGGATTGATTTAGTAAAGTCTATTTCTCCTGCTGTTGGTAGCCTCTGGTGTTGCTCCTTAGAGGGGGCAGCCTTGATCATGGATACAGTGTCCCTGACAACCAGGAATGATTGGTGTTTCTACTGAGTTCTCTTTGACTCTTTCCTTCATCTTCCCACCAAGCTTCTGGCTGGTCTGGTTCTGTTGGTATCATACCCAGCTGTTAGCCCTCATTAATTACTAGCTTATTGCTCTGTTGCTTTCAACAACACCCTGGGACATTAACTACTGCATATTCTGATCTAATCAAAGTCAGACCCCTTTTCAGGGACCTTTTTGGCAGTCTTTGAGGTTTGCTCCAACCCCAGTGGTCTCTTTCTCTGGTTCTGTTAAACATCTAGCTGGTCCTCTGTTTTGCTTGTTGCTACTAATATTGTGGAATTATAGTCTCTTAATGGTTCTTTCTCTGGTTCTGTTAAACGTCTAGCTTGTCTTCTGTTTTGTTCTCTTAGTGGTCTCTTTTTTTGGTTCTTTTAAACATCTAGCTGGTCCACTGTTTTGCTTGTTGCTACTAATATCATGGAACTTCCAGCTGCCTCTTAATTGCTCACCCCAAAGAACTCCATTGTTTTCCACAAAGTACTTAGGCATAAACTCCCCACACTTTGTTCCAAAGAAAGTCAGTCCTTCCAGGCAGCATTCTAGAGCTCTCTATTTTATAGCCTCTCTTCTTGAGCAAAACTTCTGTACTGCCACACTGGATTTGGAGATGGGAACAGTGGCCCACCTGTCTTGTGGTAACAACCCTATTCTACAAGTGGGGTGCTGGGTAGGGACCGCAGTTCCTGGGCTTCTCAGCACATCCCTGATAGCTATAGAACTTATTTTTTTTAAAAGATTTTATTTATTTATTTGAGAGAGAGAGAGCATGAGCAAGGGAGGGGCGAGAGAGAGGGAGAAGCAGACTCTCCACTGAGCAGGGAGCCCTATGCGGGGCTCAATCCCAGGACCCTGGGGTCATGACCTGAGCTGAAGGCAGACGCTTAGCTGACTGAGCCACCCAGGTGTCCCTGTAGAACTTTTTTTTAATGCCTTGGTTCTTGCTTCTTCATTATATTTTATCTTAAGTATTCTTTAATCATTTTCCTCACATGAGTGTCCACTGATGGTTCCAGGTCCATGTTTAGATCTCCCTACAGGAATATGTCTATGCTAGACACAGCAGATACTCACTGAACGCTTCTTGACAAGTTTTTATTGCATTCTGATAAGTTAATTAAAAATAATTTGATTGGTTTGCTCCAAAGTGAATTAAAGCAGTGCTTCTCAGACTAGAAGGTACAAACCAAACATCTGGGGATTTTGTTAATATGCAGATTCTGATTGGACAGGCATAAGAGTCTTCAGTCCCAAGTGATGCCAGTGTCCTAGACTGTACTTTGTGAAGCAAGGAATGAAAAGATGGTGCTAAGCTAGGTAACAAAAATGTTACCTCTGTTTACGTTGAGGTGCGAAATCATGGTATTCCGATTAAAATAACAAGGAGATTTTTTTTTTTAAGGACTTAAATTGGCTCAAAAATTCTTTTGGAAAAATAAATAAGAATACCCCCCAAATTCTTCAGTGGATGAATGGACTAGCCCTACTAGATACTGAAACATGATAAGAAGTTACAGTATTTAAAACAAGCTCATGTATAGACTGGCAGATCAAAGAAAAAGAGAAGTCCTATGATAAGCTGCAATACTGATCACAGAGATGTCATGTATATGATCAAGTAGCTGATAACGTTTTGATATTGATACATTTAGTTTGTGCTAAAGGTATTGCAGTGGGGCACAACCAGATTATTCAATAAGTGATTTGGGATGACTAGGTAGTCATTTAGGAAAAAACAAAGTTGGAGCTATATATGTTACGGTGAAATTAATCCAGATGTATCAGAGATTTAAATATAAATGATTAAAACCATTAAAGTCCTAAACTTAATAGTGGGAACATTTTTATTATAATCTTGGATCGGGGAGGACTTTTGAAGTATAAAACCCAGAAACCACGAAATCAATTTATAAAGTCAGTTATATAAAAGTGAAGTTTTTCTGCATAGCAAAAACCATCATATGCAAAGCCAAAAAATAAATAACTGGAAAAATGTGTTGACTAGTATCACAGGGAGTAAATTTTCTTAAAACACAAGTATCTTTTACATATTAGTGGAGAAATCTAACAAAAAAATAGACAAAATGGCAAAAGATTTATACAGTTTACAGAAAAGCCAGAAAGTCTCAAACTTATGGAAAATATTCTACCTCACTCCTAAGGAATGCGGAATAAAACTGTAATGAGAGACTACTTCCCCCTCTCCTAGATTAGCAATGATAAAAAATTTGTTAAGACTGTTGAGAGAATGGGCAAAAACACAGGCAGCCTCAGACATTGGTGCATAGGCTTAATCGTTAGAGAAGGCAATTTAGCATTCTGTACCAAACATGCTCATGTCAGGGCTTCTCAACCTAGACACCACTGACATTTTGGGTCAGCTAATTCCTTGTTGTGGGGGACTGTCCTGTGCCCAGTAGGGTGTTTAGTGGCATCCCTGGCCTCTACCTACTAGGTGTCAGTGGCCCTCCCCTAGTTGTGACAACCAAGAATGTCCCCAGACATTGCCATGTCTCCTGGGAGCAAAATTGTCTCCCCTGCACCCCCCAGTTGAGAACCACTGTCTTAGAACAGGCAATTTCACTCTCACTAGTTCATCCTACTGATGTACTTGCACATTTATAGTATGACTCCACCCAGGAGATTAGTAGTCACGGCATTATCGTACTAGCCGGAGATTGAGGAGCTGAGTTGACTGTGAGGACTTGTTAAAATTAGGGTACATCTACACAATGGAAAATGATGCAGCTGTTAAAAAGAGGGTTTTTTATGTGCTGATACAGCTGTGCTGATACTTATTGAGGGAAAAAAGTTGGAGGAGTAAAAGTGAATAGCATTGGCTACTCTTTGGACAAAAAAGGTAAATATATATGTTTATATGAGTGTAGATCTCTAGAAGAATATGCAAAACCTAAAAATAGTGCATGCTTCTGGGAAGAACTGTGTGGCTGGGGACAGGGTAGGATGGGAGATTGTCACTGTATACTTTTATACTGTTTAAATTGCATGTATTGCCTATTCAGAATAATTGTTAAAATGAAAAACGGGGCGCCTGGGTGACTCAGTCAGTAAAGCGTCCCACTTGCCTTGAGATAGTGCCCAGTGACAGGCTTTGTCCTCAGTGGGGAATCTGCTTGACATTCTATCTCTCTCCCTCTGCCCCTCCTGCTCATGTACTCTCTCTCTCTCTAAAATAAATAAATAAATCTGTAAAATAAAATAAAAAGCAGAAGGACATTGCTAATTCAAAAAATCCACTCAATTAGGGGCACCTGGGTGGCTCAGTTGGTTAAGCGACTGCCTTTGGCTCAGGTCATGATCCCAGAGTCCTGGGATCGAGCCCCGCATCGGGCTCCCTGCTCAGCCAGAAGCCTGCTTCTCCTTCTCCCACTCCCCCTGCTTGTGTTCCCTCTCACGCTGTCTCTCTCTCTCTCTCTCTCTCTGTCAAATAAATAAATAAATAAAATCTTTAAAAAAAATCCACTCAATTAAAAGAAAAAGACTAGTTAATTTTACTGAATGATTATTTTAAAAATAAAACTTGAAAAGACAGAGATTCCTCAAACAATTGAATAACTATTGATCTGGCAATTCTACTACTAGGTACATACCCAATATCACTGAAAGCATGAACTTGAAGAGATGTTTGTACACTCATGTTCATAGCAGCACTATTCATGATAGCCAAGGGGTAGAAGCAACCCAAGTGACCATTGGCAGATGGAGAAGCAAAATGTAGTATATACATACAATGGGATATAATTCAACCTTAAATAGGAAGGAAATGCTACATATGCTACAACACGGATAAACACTAAAGACATTATACTGGGTGAAATAAGCCAGTCACAAAAGGACAAGTATTGTATGATTCCACTTACACGAGGTACTTGAATGAAATTGATAGAGACGGAAAGTAGATGGGTGGCTGCCAGGACTTAGGGGAAGGGGTTCTGGGGAGGCAGTGTTTCATGGGTACAGGGGTTTAGTTTTGCAAGATGAAGAAAGTTGTGGAGGTGGATGGTGGTGAATCTCGTACAACACTGAGTATACTGAATGCCACAGAACTGCACACTTAAAAGTGGTCAAAAGGGGAAATTTTATGTTACATATATTTTACAAAAAGACAGGAAAGTGAGTTGAGACTGGTCAAAGTGTACTTAAGTACACAGTTTTCCCCCAGAAAACCCACCAAACCTAAGAAATCACAATAAGGAAAAACAAATTCCTTAATAAAGGAAGGACGGAAGAGAAAAAAGTATGTTTTAGACTGCACTTAGTGTTTCTGAGCTGGATGAAAACATCACCATTTGTTAAAAAAAAAAAAAAAACAATCATCATGTTGAAAATTTCAACATTATTTTGAGAACTACATTGAAACTGGGGAGAGATAGATGTCAGGGCCAGTAAGTCCCATAAGCCAGAAGTGCCAGGATCTTTGGTTTAATAGGTCCTTCTCAACCCAGGACCGGGCCAAGGCCGAGGCTTTGAACCAGAAGCTCCGCAAACAGCTGGCCGAGTTCCGCGCACCGCAGGTGATGCTGTACGTGCGGGAGAAGGTCTTAAATGGGGACCTGGAGAAGACCATCAAGATGTGGGAAAGGAAAGTGGAGATTGCAGAGGTAAGTCTCAGAGAACCTCAGGACAGGCAATCTTTTATGTCCTTCACATTCTTGTCTAGGGTTTTGCTTTTCAAGCTAAGAATACCAAAGTTTGGACACGTGATGTCTGTGCGAAATCCCAGCAGTCCCTTCAAGTCTGGCAGGAAAATGAAGGATACCCTGTTTTTGTTTTTGTTTTTTTAAGTTCCCTTTTCAGTGTTAGGGACAGGGTCTTTTCAGGTGATCAGGAAGAGACTTGGTAGTAATTGTGTGATTTTAGTTGCTTGTTTTCTTAATGAATTCTGGAAGTTTCTGAATCCCTTCCCCCACCATTTGGTGATTTAGGGATTGATACTTTATACATGGAGAAGCCAGTTTTTTTTTAAAAAATGAGATAATAATGGATTTTTAATATCACTCAGAACCTGATTCCATGCATTTACATAGTTGCCATGGGTCTTTCATTTTTGATAACCCCACAGCCTTTCCATATGATACAGTGTGCTCAGAGCACCCTAGCCCCTTGTGAGTGCAGAAGAGAAACGGGAAACACACAAAGGGTCAGGAAAAAGGAAAGGAAAGCACCAGGTCTGCCACAGGCTGGGTTGCATACTGAGGACACTGGAGACATCAGCAGAGTAGCTCAGAAACCCAGGCAGGTCACTTTGGAAGCCTGGTGTTTTCACGTCTAGACCCAGGCTCCTTTTCCCACAGTACTTTCTCCTGCCCTTCCCGTGGCCACTTGGTGGCAGGGAGTGAATTAGGATCCAAACTTCGGCCCATCAGATTTGGAGCTGAGAAGTAGGACCGCAGGAACCTGCAACCTCTCACTTCACTGAACAGAAACAAGCTCTTTGGAAGAGTCTTGCAGCCTGGCACTGCTCCACACAGACTCCTCTGCATCCTCGCAGGGCTAGATGCAGGTTGCATTCTGAAAAATCAAAATTGCTTTTTCCCAAATAACCTTCTCCCCACCCCCCCAACCCCCTTTTTCCTTTTTGCAGATGTCCTTAAAAGGCTACCGCAAGGCGTGGAATAAAATGAAAACCACCAATGAGCAGTTGCAGGCAATTTGCCCCCCTGAGAAATAGCCAGAGGGAGGCCACGGCTGCAGACCAGAGTGATCCATTAAAGTAATCAGCTCCTTTCCAGTCAAGGGGTCCTCTCACTGTTTCCTGTGCTGCTTGGTGTCTCCGACTCTCCGGCCGGGCACTTCCCCGGCCACATTTGCCCGTGGGGAGTGTTTGCACAGTCTGGCCCCTGGAACCGTTAACACTGAAAGAACCACAGGGCACTCTAATGGTTTGACACTTGTTAGCCCACATTTAGTTCACAAGCACAAAGGAAAGTGACCTTCCCGCGTGTGGGAGTGGGACAGAGAAGAGAGAGCCAGCCCAGTATGCACTGTGGGCCTGTCCGCGGCAGCCCAGGTGTGCCAACTATAAAAAACCAGACACCAAAACAGCATGGTGGCTGCCTGACACTCAGCATTCTGAGCTTACTCTTCAGTTGGGAGGGTTAGCTCCTAGACTAGATATCATTGCAAAAGAAAACAAGCACAAAGAAAAACAAGATTATTTCTTGGGGCTGATGTAACCTGTTCTGACCTGAAATAGGCCCACTACCCTTACCAGCCTCCCCATAATAGTCATAGTAAGCGGGATCTACGGTCACAGCAGAAGACTTGCCTAATTCCCCTAACTCTTTCTCCTCAAGGTCTGGACCCTCTGTAGAGCTGTTTGTTGGGAATGTATATAAGGTGACCTTATTTTCTTCTTGCACATCTGCTTGGGACCATTCACCCTGGCCCAGCCCAGAATGTTTTTTCGGTGTCACGATGATATGTGATGAGTAGCTGGAGAAAGGAAATGGTTCCTCCCGGTGGTGGAAGGAAGACAGAGGACGGCTGGTTTTCTTAGTCTTGGACATAATCCAGTCGCTATAGTCTTCCACCTTGATGTACAGAAATAGGCCAGGGCAATTCTCACTACCGTGGGACAAGATTCCTCTCAGCACCCACATATTCAGTTGCTGTAGCTGGCACATCATCGGGTTTCCTGGGTCCCCCTGTGACAAAAGACAGAAGGCTTCAGGTCTTAGAAAAACTTGTTTGTTTTTTAAGATATATCCTTGTGCAATTTACTATTTGTTCTAGAAATGTTTTACACTAGTTCTTACTGGAGATGGGGGAAATTATAGGATACCAATTCCAAACTAGGCGGCCACTACCACAAATTCCAACAAGATTACTTTTTCTTTTATTATGCAGATTATTTGTAGGCTTCTGCAGTTTGGCTCTAGCTTCCTGGTTGCCATTTCATTTTCATGCCTCTTTGACTAAATCCTCACTCTCTTTTGGTTTCTCTTTCCTCAAATGTTGACCCCCCCCCTCCCCTTTCTGGCCTGGAATGCTCCCATTTTTCCTTCTCCTCTCTGCTTTGTTTCCATCCTTCATTTAATCTGCTCCCTCCTCCCCACACTCCTGCCGAGGTCGAGGTCGGAGTCACACTTCCCCTGGGAGCACTGGCCGTGCAGCTTCACAGCCTGGCCACCCTGACAACTGCCTGTCCGGGCCCCTGCTCGTCAGCCCTGCCCACGCTCCCACAGGAAGTCCTCTGCCACTTGGCGATTCTGCCAGACCTTATCTCACTTCGAGGGAGTGCCTGGAAGCTTGGCACCCTTCCCCACATATGTGACCCTGGTGAGTCACCTACTGGTCTCCGAGTTAAAGTGCCTGTACCACATGCAGAGCTCCTAACACAGTGCCTGGCATACAGTCTGCATTCAGTAGAGAATTAGTTACCATTATCCTGGTGTCTAGAAAAGGCCATCATTTTTAGGTGGAAAGCTGAGAAATACAGGAATAGTAACAAGACAATTGCTAGGTATAATTTACCTTACCTGCCCCACCCCAAGCCTCCCCTTAAGGGAATACCTGACCCCCCATTCCAGCCCCATGGTCCATTTTGCCCCAAGAGGGGTTGTAAATCAAAGGCTAGATAGCCCCTTTGATTTGCGTGGTCTGCCTCTGTAGAAAGACGGGGCAAGCCCACATTGCTCTTGCTGCCCCAGGCTGCCATGGAGCAGAGGGAAGAGCTTTCATCCCAAGTTGTGGCTGGCAGTGAGAAGGACTGTTGAACCGGCTCCCGTCTGCACCCGATCATGTCTGCCTGGGGCAGAGAGGTTCTTGGGCCAAGCATGGCCTGGTCGCCTCTCCTGTCACCAGTCCCACCCCCAGTTTACTTTAACTGTGGTTTCATAGCTTGAAGAAGAAAAACGATGCAATTTAGGACAAATGGTTTGATGAATGACTGTGTAACAGACCTGCCCGGCTGTGGCATGGTTTTGCAAGTCACCGTTCCACCCCAGGGGTGGAATACACTGCTTTTCTCTTCCTCATAACCTGTGGGACAGGACTTCTGAAGCCCAAGCAGCTGAGAGAAGTAGTACAGGGGCTCCTCTGGAGCAGCCCCACCTTATCTCCCAGGGGAGCAGCCCCAGCTTAGAGGGGCTCTTTCATTGTGTGTTCCTCAACCTTGACATTGAACGAAAGCCCTAACAGTTGTGGGGAAAAGGGAAGAGGTGAATTCACAGTGATTCTGCTTTGGGTTGGGTTTCTGGGGACCCATTAGGCAGATACTGGACTTGGGTGGTTTATTCTACCACCATCTACATATTTGAATGACTTTGAGGATCTCTGGACACTAGAACACTTTTCTGAGAGAGGAAAGGATCCTAGGTAGACAAGTCACTGTTTGTCTGATCCAGTTTGCAAGCACAGTTCAAAAACAAAGGACTGACTGCAGGGGTGCTCCAGGTAAAAACCAATAGATAAAAACCAATCTGAACTTTGTAGTTAGATTTAAAGAGGTAATCATTTAGAGTATGAGTAGCTTACCATATTCCTTTGAATCTAAGATGCTCTTGAAAAATGAACATCTTTGGAATGAGATGTGTCTTTTAATTGGTTGGTGGCAGCATTTTCTCTCTCTTGATATTCCATTAAATAATGGTGCATTCTACAACTGACAGCATCTTAGGTTTGATGAAATAAGGGGCTGGATCGATGGAATGGCTGATAGCAGGATTTTGATAAATAGCTATGTTTTCTACTGTATTTTAACACATTATCTACTTTAAAAAGTTGTTAGTCTTCCACCTGGTAGAGAGTCCAGTACAAAGTAGGCACTCAGGGGCGTGTGGGTGGCTCAGTCAGTTAAGTGTTAAGATCCCAGGGTCTTGGGATCGAGCCCTGAGTCAGGCTCCTTGCTCAGTGGGGAGTCTGCTGCTCCCTCTGCCTCTCCCCGCCCCCCACCCCCACTTATGCTCGCTCGCTCTCTCTTGCTCACTCACTCTCTCAAATAAGTAAATAAATCTTAAAAAACAACAACAACAAAGTAGGCACTCAATAAATGTTGAACCAACTTTGGAAAGGCAAACTTACTGCCTAATGAAAGGCAGTCCTTCAAGCATTTGCAATAAAATTACTTTTAGAAAGAATTGTCCCCTTTCTCTAAAATGCTTTCCTTAGGGCGCCTGGGTGGCTCAGTTGGTTAAGCAACTGCCTTCGGCTCAGGTCATGATCCTGGAGTCCCGGGATCGAGTCCCACATCGGGCTCCCTGCTCAGCAGGGGGTCTGCTTCTCCCTCTGACCCTCTTCCCTCTCATGCTCTCTCTCTCTCATTCTCTCTCTCAAATACATAATAAAATAAAATAAATGCTTTCCTTAGATCATCTGGAAAAAAAATTTCCCCACCAGGGAATCCTGAAAGTTACCTGAAGGAGAATAGATGATCAGCACCTTAGAAATATTGGAGTAGAAGAAAGAAACTGCCTGGAAATCTGGTGGACCTATGTTCTCATCCTTACTGTAACATTAACTGTGTGACCTGTGTAAACCACACCTCCTCTGGGTATGGACATGAGGGAGCCTGGGCCAAGGGTTTGTGAATTCCATCCATTTTGCTGAGGCAGTAGAACAACCACATCTATACAGCCCTCATCCGGATGAAGGGCCGGGCTTCTTACAGAAAAAAACTTCAATAACTGATGAGCAATAGCATCAGAGTCCAGGTTCCATAGAAGCTGAATACAATGATCCCACCCTGTGGACATACCCGAAGTATATCTGCATGCATGGTTTGGACTCACACTTTCAAACTTTTAGCCAGTGAGAAACACCTATGACTTAGACATGCTTAATCATGTCACATTGAAAATAGTGACTGTTTAGTCCATTCAGTAGATTTTTATTGAGCATCTGCTGTCTGCCAAGTGCTGGAGACAGCCTTGAATCCCAAGTGCCAGTCCCTGCCAGTCCCTCATGGAGTTCAGCATGCAATGAGGGAGAGTTCCCTTCTCCCACCTCCCTTGAAGTGACCACTGCTTACTCTCAGCCTTTAGCTTTTATTCCATCACGTTCTTACCAAGCAGACAGCGTCGGTTTCCTGCTCTATGTGATTGCCACATCCTGTTTTCTCGATTTTGTGTAAGGGACACAGGTCGATGTCTTTCACGGAGATTTTCCTCAGGATACTCATCGTCATGTGATTTCCTGTCTGGACCATGCAACAGAGAGCCAAGAATTATTAACAAGAATACATTGCCTATATGTCAACTCAACTACAGCTCACATATCCAGATGGGAACGAGTAGAAAATGCTCTGATAAACCCCTTTTCCTTATAGAAATTAGAACCTGTGTCTGAGTTTTTCTGAAAACTACCTTTGCTTTGAACTTGAATGTGAAAATCAAGAACATAGTCCACCCTTCTTCCACATCTACGGAGAATACATTTCCTTGTTCATTTCCCAAGAATAAAAGAAAACAAGAATGGCTTAGCCAACAGGATAATCAGCTCCAGTTCAGGGAATAATATCCCCTGCCCCCCCCCATAACTGCACTCATTTCAGGCTCTTTGCTGCCTACGTACTTCTAATTTTGGTGTAGGACTAGAAGAAAAAGGACCAAATGTAAGAATGGCCACAAAAAAGGCAAGCATTGCAAATCTTGACTGATTACATGAAGTTTCCAGCCCAACTCCAGAACCTTGAGCACCCTGAATTATTAAGATGAGCCCTAGAATGGTTCATCCAAGTCACCCCCTCCGCCAGCACACACACAGCCTCCTCTAGGAGAAGGCAGGCATTAACTGCAGATGTGGGATTCCATCCTGCCACCCAGCAGTTCCG